ATTTGCGACAGAGCAGAAATCAAGCCGGGGTGGCTTTTGGGCAGCGGGGTGGGTTTTCTTTGTAGTCTTTTTTGGCCTGAAATTGCATTTGCATGTGGCAAGTGCAGGAATGCCAAATGTGTGCAACATCAGAAACTTATTTCGGTATTAAAAGAAACTAAAATTATCTCATGGCTCTTGATGAAACAAGTCGTGTTTTTTGAGTATTTCATTCCGTTTAAAATTAAGATTGGTTTGGAAGAGTAAATTTGAATACATTTCGAGTCGTTTCAAATAGAGTCCACATATATTTCAAATAGTTATCATTTCTTATCGATAGTAATTCGTTTTCTATTATATGTTCAAAGCCAAAACTCTTGAATGCGACATTATTTAAACGGAATCGAAATAAAGAAATCCATTTCGACTTCAAAAAGTTTGATCGAAATTGAACTCCAGTTTAGTCTCTTATCTTTCTTTTCTCTGAGCTATTTAAACTTTTGGATATATTATATCTATCTCTTAACTCTTAAATGCGACATGATTTAAACGGCCTCAAATTAAAGAAATCCATTTCGATATCGAAAAGATTGATCGAAATTGAAATCTAAATTATTTTTTATAGATATATAGATATATATTATCTAGATATATAATATTATACCTTATAGATACATACATATCTTCTCTGAGCTATTTAAAATTATATACATATATATTATATGTGTCTTCCTACACTAAATCCCGCACTTCAATCTGTTTTCTTAAATACTTTAAATATTTATGCACAAATCAAATTTTATAGTCTTTATATTTAGCTATTTTATAGCTCGTCTTTTGTGTCTCTATTTCATAATCCAATAAATCAAATCTTTTATTTATTGGAGGCCACAAAAATATAAAAAAAAGAGCCCCGCCCCTTGCAGGCAGTCGCTCGCGTCTGATAATTTATGCATAAGGGCGAAGCTTAAAAAATTACCGTCAAAACACAATTTAACGCGGCTAAAGGAGCGTCAATAAGCGAGAGAAAGAGAGAGAGAGAGGGGGAAGGAGAGAGGCGGGGTTGGGTAAAAAGAAAATAAAGCAACATGCACAGTGTCTGGCGCACAGACACACACACACACACACACACACACCCCTCACACACACACGTATGTGTTTGCATAAAAAATAAATGTTTTGTTTAACCGACATTTTAACGCCTATTTGCGTGCCGTGCACGTCATGCACGTTATGCCAATTTAATGGGCGCAGCGCCTACAGCTAGGCAATGACTTTTGGCTTCTACACGCACACACAGAGAGCGAGAGAGAGCGAGAGAGAGAGAGAGAGAGAGAGAGAGAGAGAGAACTGGCAGAAGCAACTGGATAAATAAATAAAGCGAGCAAAACATAAAAAAGGCAAAGACATGCGAATGTGGCAAGCAAAATAAAAGAAGCGACCAAAATTTAATTGTCGTAAACAAAGAGAGCGAGAGAGCGAGAGAGAGAGAGAGGGAGAGAGCGAGAGCCAGACAGTCAGACGCAGTCTTAAATTATTAAATTAAAAGTTAATGAATAGAGCGACGCATAAACACGTTAAAAGCATAAACAAGTCAAGGTCGCTGCCGTTGCCGTCGCTGTCGCCGTCGCTGTCGACGTCGCAGTCGACGTCAAGCCGCCGTCGCCTCGCTGCTGCTGCCACACCCGCCATGTGGCACATTAGCGTCCCTTGTGCAACATTGCGAGCATACTGAGTGGCACGCTGTCGATCCTGCTGCTGTCCTCCAATAGTTGCCGCTGTCTGTCGCTGATTGTTCCTCTCTTTCTCTCTCTCTGTCTCCCTCTCTCTCTCTCTCCCTTCCTCTCCCTCTCTGGCTGGCTGTTTGCTGGCCGACATATGACAAATACGCTGGGGACCATCAGCAAGCATTACAAGCAAAGTTACTTTGCACAAAAGTTGCCATTTTTCTTTGCCTTTTCTCGGCTCGGATTTTTAATGCTCTTCCTGCGGGCATTCGAATTTGCAAAGGAAATTTGTAACGCCTCATTGCTGTTACAAATATATATATTCTTGATCAGCAATAGTCGGGTGTATATAGTCGTGTCCGACTGTCTGTCTCTCTCTCTCTCTATCTCTCTGTCTGCCTGTCTCTCTGTCTGCATACAAACTAATCTTCCAGTTTTAAAGCTAGCTATAAGAAACTTGATCTAGAATCATTTTGCAGGCTTCAAAATGTCTAAGTCAGCTGGATCTAAGCTCTATAGCCTATAGCTGTTTTAGAAATAATCGTACGATCGTTAGTTTCTCGTTAATGTTACTTTTCTCTTTATATTTAAAGATATCCCTACTATAACTGGCAAATTATAAGTTTTAGCCTGTTTCTGAACATCTCAGTACTATATCATTTAACTCTATGATGCTTCATATCCTTCGAAGAATGAGTTTGTATTTTGTTTTTCTAGATATCTCAAGAAGCTTCCCTATGTTTCTTATATGTGAGCCAATTCGCCTGAAGCTGGGATAACTAAGTTAGGAACTAGGGATAGAAAAGTGGATTAATGTAGGAAGAGAATGTGAAGTCTACGTTGGGATAGAAAATTAAGACTATGTAGGGATAGAAAATGGAGTCTATAAGGCATAGAAAATTGTTTCTATGTAGGGATAGAAACTTCAGTCTATAAGGGATACAAAATGGAGTCTTTGTAGGGATAGAAAATTAAATCTATGTAGGTATAGAAAATTGAGTAATGTAGGGATAGCAAATTAAGTCCATGTACAAGAAAAAATAGGGCATTTATAAAATCAAAAAAAAAAACCTTTTGTTTTCCAAGAACTCATAACTAAATTAAGCAAAAATAAAAGGAAACATTATGGTATATAAAGAAGCTCAATATCGCTCTACTATATCAACTCTAGGATAAATAAATAAACCCGCTAAATCTGGCAATTTATACAATCCGTGTCCGCGAGGGTATTTAAGCTTCGGCCTGCCCGTGTTTAAATGTTTTTCTCTTCTCTACTTGGCTTTTGGCTGTTTATGTTTATGTTGTTGTTGTTGTTGTTGTTGTTGTCTGTTTTGCTCGTCTTGGCCATTAGTTGGCTGGCGCTGGCGCTGACTGGCAGCGCGACTGGCAGTGCGACGCGGTGACAGCTCAAGATTGCTACGACTGGCTGGCTGGCTGGCTGGCTGGCAGCATTTATAAAAGCGCGACATGGCAATGTCGACGGCGTTGAGGCAACCGACGCACGGTTAAGTTGTCAACCGGCCGCGTGATGTGGATTCGCCAGCGGATTGCGTTGCCTTTGTCTTTGTTATGCACGGCGGAAAAATTGTTTTCATGTCACAAGTCATTCACTCAGCGAAGCTTCATTTAGCTACGTTTTCCTTCTTCTTTTTTTTCTAGTTATGTATATTTTCTGAGAAACGTTCGCTGCAGTCGCTGCTAGCCCCTAAAAGCAGGCAACACTTTTCGCCAAGTAATTTGCAGGCGTGCGCGTGCGAGTGTGTGTGTGTGCGTGTGTGTGTGTGTGTGATGCTGCTTGTAAATGTCAAAACCTCAACATGTCTACACAGCAGCCCGTTAGTCCTGCCGCCTGCTTCTTATGCATATATGGAAATGCCAATTTCAAACAACCCGCAACATCCGACATGGGCCTCGGACCGCTGTCTCCGCCTGCGTCCCCTACCCCTTCCCCCTGGCCCTGGCCCTGGCCCTGGCCCTACGCCCAGCCCCGCATTTGGCCAAGGCAATACCTGCCGATAAGACAAAAGCGAATGCGGCTGACCAAAGATGCGTTGGGGCTGTGTGAGGCAGCTGCTGCCAAATTGTTGCCTTGTTCTCTGTGACGACTACGACTATAAAGAATTTACATATGGAATTTATGCGCGTGTGTGTGTGCGAGTGTGCGAGTGTGCGAGTGTGTGTGCGTCGAGACATGTTTTGACTGTCACGACGGTAATTGATCTCGATTAAGACCATGTACGAGAAGTCGCTTTACAAGCAGACAACACATGTACACACACACGCACACACACACACATACGCACACATTGAGCCCATTTGGCCGCGGACTTAAGGCTTTAACTGGCATCAGCTTTAATTGGCTGCGTCCAAGTTGGAGCAAATTAAGCTGCAATCAAGCCAAAATCGCTTTATTTAAAGCAAAAAATAAATAAGCAATTCGCTTAGGTTTTATTTATGCAATTCAGAGAGTGTTAAAGACAGACTACATTTATAGAACACATATAAAACGTGCATATATCCAACATTTAACTGCGGCTAAATCGATTTATAGCACAATTTTATACCTTACTAGTTAAACTAAAGAGCTACGCTCAAAATCAAGTGTTACTATATTTCCGGCATATTCAAACCCTGAGCAAACATTTCAAAATACAACTAAACAGATTTCCCACGTACAGTTTGAAAGTCACTTCCTTGGGCGTACAGTTTGACAATCACTTGTGGTATAATCAAAATCAATTACAGCTGGAAAAATAGTTTAAAAGCGCATTTTAATTATGTCGCCCGTGACTGTCAAACTGAGTTGCTTAGTATGTGGCTTTCAAACTGTGACTGAAGGCACTGTAAAACAGAATATTGCTTAGTGAGTGACTTTCAAACTGTGACTTTAAGCGGTGTAAAACAGAATATGTTGCGCTCAATCTGCGACTTTAGGCACTGTTAACAGAATATTGCTTAGTATATGATTTTCAAACTGTTCCCAAAGGCACTGTAAAATAGAATATGTGGCTTTCAAACTGCGAATTAAGGCATTGTTAATAGAATATTGCTTATTATGTGGCTTTCAAACTGTGACTTTAGGCACTGTAAAACAGAATATTGCGCAGTCAATTAGACCCAAACGTTTTAATATGTCCCACTACAGACTATGATAATAAATATAAATAATTAAATAATTAATAAATAATTATCCAAAATTTATAAAATTTATCAAGCAAATAATTGCCATATCCTCCCAGTTAAAGAAAACTTTGACATATTACTAAAAAAAAACATTGTCGCTTTTGATTACAGGTCTGGTTCCAGAACCGTCGCGCCAAGTGGAAGAAGCGCAAGAAGACAACAAATGTGTTCCGCACACCGGGCGCCCTGCTGCCCTCGCACGGCCTGCCCCCGTTTGGGGCAAACATCACGAACATTGCGATGGGCGACGGCCTGTGCGGCACGGGCATGTTCGGCGGCGATCGCTGGAGCGTCGGCGTCAATCCCATGACGGCAGGTGAGTGCACAAATTGAACTAACCAAAAGCGAAACGTCTAACTATATCCTGTCCTCCAACAACAACAACAACGACAACGACAACAACTATGAACAGGCTTCGGTCAGCTAAATCAAACCTCGCCGCTTTCGTCCACGCTGAATAGCGGCCTCAATTCGGGCATTAACATGGGCTCCGCCCTCGGTGCCGGCACCTATCAGCACTATGGCCTGAACGCTTTGGGTAGGTGCCCCCAAACACGCCCCAAGACAACCCCTAATTAAAATCACATGAAAAACAAAAAAAAAACAAAAACTTTCCATTTGCATGAAAAAGCGTTGACACTTTTTGGCGCTTTACTTCATTTTTTTTATATATTTCATTTTCCCCCCACCGATTTATTTACTTAGCTCTCGATACAATCCAGTTCTGCTGACAATTGCCCAAACACGACAACGTTTTCATTTCTTTGAACTCATAACACTTTTTTTTCGGTAGCACCCAGAAAAAAGATACAAAAATAAAAGCAGAAACATACGAATAATTTATAGAGCTCTCTGGCGTTTTTCGCTTTGGATTTTTGTGTATTTGCTCGCCCAATTAACAGGCAGTCGTTTAATTTTCAGGAATGCCCCAAAGGCATTCTGTACGGCACGTCTCCGTCTCCGACTTTGAGTTTTTATTTGATTTCGTATAGTTGTGCTAATTGATATTTTGGAGACAGGTTTTTTTTTGCTTCTTTCAAAGTTTTCATTGTTACACTTTAGTTTATTTCTTTATTATTTTTTTGGGCGGTTTTCTAGACTCTGTTGCGTGTCTTTAATTGTTCTCTCTCTCTCGCTCTTAGGCGACTCGATGATGTATCAGCACAGCGTGGGCGGGGGGGTAAGCTGCGGACCGGGCGGCTCCCCGAGCGCCACCACGCCGCCCAACATGAACAGCTGCTCATCGGTGACGCCGCCGCCGCTTTCCGCGCAGCCCACACAGAACGAGCTCAACGGCGAGCCTATGGTGAGTAGTCCTGCAGCCGAGACACAAACCCAAAATGTTAACTAACATACAACTTCTGTTGCAGACGCACCACCAACAACAGCAGCAACAGCAGCAGCAGCAGCAACAACAGCAAGCACACCAACCGCAGCAGCAGCAACAGCCACACCAACAAACCCTAACGCACCAGCAGCAGTCAGCAACACCAACACAGCAGCAACAACAGCAGCAGCAGCAGCAGCAGCAGCAACAACAGCAGCAACAACATCAACAACAACAGCAGCAGCAACAGGATAGCGGCAATTTGCTGCCGCACTGTCACCAGGCCATGCAGTCGCCAGATGGCGCCACCGACGAGGATGTCTGGCGGGGACACAGCATTGCAGCGCTGCGGCGGCGAGCATCCGAACTAAACGCAACAGCAATTCCTTCCTATTTGCATCACGCCGCCGCCGCACACAACAATTACGAGCACCACAATTCGGTCTACTGAAATTTGTTGAAAAGCTTTGAAAGCTTTTCGGATTACGGTTTTTCCAATTGCGGCAGTCACGAGTTCTAAAAACAGTTTGACAGCCACAGGGCGCAGCAACAAGTTTTAGTTTGAACTTTAACCAATTGTACAATTTATCAGTTTACATTAGTTTACCTTCGGTTTTCTTTTCTTCTCTCAGACACTTATTTTTTTTTTAACATAAAAAAAAGACTATAATGAATGTAAACCATGTATACGAGAGCGGAACTTGAGCTAACTTTAGTGGCATCAACTAGCGCAACTAAAACCCTATACGAATCCATAAATGTATTAAAATTAAGCGTAAAACATTAAAAAAAAGAAAGTAGTTCTGCCCGAACTCAACGAATTAATTCCTTAGCAATTAGTAAACAATTATAATATAAATATTCAAGCAGAAAAAAAATCACACACACACAACGTATACGAATTGATAAAAGTCAAGGAAAAGAAAAAACAAATAAGAAGAAGAAGAAGAAGAATTGTATAAAAAACAAACATTTTTGCATAGCGCTCAGAGTTGCCTATGGAAGAACTTTAAGGCTCACAATAATTTTTGGTATGCTTAAATCTTGATATATATACACAACTATACATATACATATATATATATCTTATATAGTTACTATGTAAACGTAAGCTTAGTAGATGTAAACTTAAGTGTTGTTGTTTTTGTGTATAGCTCTTCTCTGTTTAGTTCTTTTGCCTCTACTCGCTCCTACATATATACATACATGCATAAATGCACACATGCATACATGCGTGCATGCACACATGCATGCACACATGCGTACATGCATGCATGCATGCATGCAAACATATATTGTTTGAATGGAAATAAACTATGCAAGAAATACATAAACGAATCATATAGCTAAATGTATCAGCCACAAACCGTACAGTTTTAAATGCACAATTAATTAATGAATTTGATGAGACGACATCAAATGGATTAATTTGAATACGTAATGCTCGCGTAACACACCCGAGTCCATACATATATAGATACACGCATTAAACACAATTATATGGCATATAGTACTTGTAATAGACTCTCTTCTAATCTTTAAGCCTAAATTTAAACACAGCAAATGCAAATGAAAAACCACAAAAAAAAAGAAATACAAAAATATATATATTATTATGTAAAACACGAAAATGAATATGTATGTAATTATGCGTATTATTAAATAGTAAACTAAATTAAATATGAATTGAACGTGATTTAAATAACAGTAAATTGAAAAACTATGCAAAAATAAAAAAAAAACTGATTTCAGTGTAAATGTTATGCGATTAACGATTTAGCTTCACTTTTAATTATATGCAGCTGGAGGGAGTGAGAGAGGGGTGAGAGAGGGGCTAGATATAACATTTTCCGGAATATGCTGCAAATGCAATTTAATGCCAAGCCAATTAGCTAAAGGCTGCCACAGGGTTCGAGAGCTGCGCATTAGCCCCTTTTGGTTGCATATATGTACATATATAGGTGGCAGTTGCAACAAAAGCAATTACAATAATTGCATGTTGCCGCACAGCTTTTGGCTGGCTAATAAAAACGCCAAAACACACGCATTGGCCACAAACAACTTTAAGCTCAAATTGCCAAATTGATAAAACTTTGACAGCACACACACACACGCACACACACACACACACACACAGGTCGGCCAAATCTCTCTGGCTATTGACTACTTGCCCCATTATTGGGGTCAGCTGCAGAGACGGCAACAGCCGTGTCCACTGCGGCCCGTCTGTGGCTGCATCCAGCATACCTTACCCATAGTCATAAGTAAAACAGGGTATATAGATTTTAACTGCATTCTATTTATTGTATCAAAAACCTGAGTAAATCGGTTTGACCTGCCGTAACTTGAGGCTGGACTTTGATACAGCTTCAGCCAGATGCCAAACCTTCTCTCTCAGCTAAAACTCCTCATATATCTTAATTACTCATAAGGCCTCTCCATAGCCCAACACATTCAATAGCTTCTTCTTTGTGAATACTAAATTGTTTAGGAAAATACAAAAAACTGCTGCTGTATTTGAACCAGCGACTTTACGCTTGCCAGTCTGACGCTCACAGAACTAAGCCTCGCAAACTTCATGACTTCAGGTTTGCAATTTACTTTAAACAGATTTAAACGACTTTTCCTCACACTTCATTAAGGCCACTCTCGCTAGTCTTTTTACAGGGCATCTGCGGGCCGTGCAAGCTTTGTCGGTTGTCGTATTGGTACTTTGTAGCATATGCATACACGTGGCTTATAAATATTATAACGACTGCAGCTGTGACATTTGACATGCACATTGTCACGACAATTGCCCCGACTTAATCACACTGATGGCATTTTTATGCAATGTGGCAGAGGCAGAGGCAGCAACTGCGTGCAACAACAGCAATTCAATAATAAAAAAAAAAACACAAGTAAAACTACAAATATTGTCTTTTAGTAGCATGCAGTTTTTATATTCGAATGTGGAAGGTGGAGAGAAAGTCGGGGGCGCGCAGTATGACATGCTCGAACTCCAATATTGATAGCTTGCCGTCGCCGTCGACGTCCGCCTCCTCGATTACCTTGTCGGCAATCTGTTGGTGCTCCTCCGGACTTAGCTCGTTTTTGGTCATTGTTGTCAGGCAGGACATCAGGTCGGCGTGCCCAATGAAGCCGTCTTGATCGAAATCTGCAATGTCGTGCCCAGACATGCATAAGTACTGCGGGTCGCACAACAGATGTGTGTGTGTGTGTGTGTGTGTGTGTGTGTGTGTGTGAGTGTGTGCGCGTGTCGTATTAACACAGTTGACATTTTCATGCATAAAAGTCAACTGATGTGTGCAAAACTAAGTTACGAGCACATATTCCTATGCAGCTACATATGCATATCTCTTCACATATATACATATATGCATATCTGTGTGTGTGTGTGTGTGTTGCATAATCGCATGTGCTGGCTGTCAGCGTTGCATGCCTCAATTTGTGTCAATCTAATAATGCACTTGGAGGCAAGAGCGCGTTGTGCCCTGTTTTCTAAATATTTTCATAGAATTGCAACTGCGAGCCAAGTGAAAGCTAAGCCTGACTTCGATAAGCCAAGGGTTAAGGGTTACAAATGCAACTACAAATACAACAAGTATTTGAAATCGAATCAAATGACACAATCAGCTTTAAATAGTTGCTTGAATGTGTCAGAAATTGAGCTGCATTTTAATTGCACTTGCAGCTGAAATCAAACGAAATTCTCTTCTTATACGCTTGTAGAGGATATTATTGGATTTTACTTTGTCAAAAACCAAGCCAATTTATGTAAGGCATGTTTGCTTGACAGTTGATTTAACTGTACATTAAAAGTGCATTAAAATCTGATAAACAATATGTTTACCTAGGTGAATCCTAAAGCAGCTAAGGAATGTATCCAAATCTTAAAATATTTTAGCTTAGTCTAAGCTTAAATACCTTTTACTTATAATTATAATAAAATCCAGCTTAATGCTGCATTTAAATCTAAAAACCAGATTTGTGTCCACAATTCAAGTCAAAATGTTTTCCAAGCAGGAATTGAGTCCAAATTCAAACCAGCTTAAGTAGCTAAAACTATTGCCAAAAGCAACGACTTTTTGGTTTTATTTAATTCTTAATTAAATTCGAATTAATTCTCTTGGAAGTGAACATCTTTTGTTGGAAATGCATGTTAATTGTTGCCTGAAATATTATAATGAGCCTCGACTTTTTGGACTCAATTTTCTACCAATAAATAAAAACCCGAACGTAAATAAATATTTTTAAAATAATTTAAATATTGTTGCCAAATTTGGCAAACTTTCAACTAAGATAAATTGTTCTAAAATCAAACAGACTTTTATTGGAAATTAAGCCCTATTCTTCTACTAAGATCTCTCTAACTCCAAGCTGAAACGATTTCCATATGGAAAGGCGTTTAGCTCCTCCTTTGGCTTGCACATGAATATGAGAAATATATTTCTGTGCATCGCAAATGAATTCAATTTATCAAGCTATCAGTGAGCTGCCCCAAAGTCACACAAATTATACAATAAATACATTTTATTTGTTGTGTTTTATGCAATCATTCATCGGTTTTTATTCGATTTGTTGGCCTGCTTTGGAGCTCTGTTGATTCAGGTCCCAATTCAATTTGCTCGCAAATATGAGAAACTAATATATGCATTTAGTTGATGTTTAGTTTAGTTTAAAGTGCACACTTAATTGCCGGCCAGTTCTGGTGTCGTTAATCCGCCGAGTTGTAAAATCAATTTCCAGCGCGACAATTTTTTCCTCAGTTTGTAATTTAAATTTCAATTAAAATGCTTATTAGAATTTACGACTGGCCTTGAACTGTGCGGCCCAGCAACAACAAGAGGCCGCGTTTTGGACCTGGGCCACGAATAACTGAGGCGCGACTAGGCAAATGGCATTGCGTTCCCTGTAAATGCCAAAGAGACAAACGCAGACAGAATCAGCCAGCAAATGCACAGAACAGAACCCGCAAATGTTGGCCAACAACACGGCCAAAAGCGTGCACCACAACAACAAAAACAACTAGACGAACAACATGAACTTGAACGAGTAAAAGTGCGCCAGACGGTTGTGCTCGACTAGCTAGATACCCTAAGCACTGTTCTTAACATTCCAACTTCCTTCTATACATACATATATACACAAACACACATACATGTGCACACACATACATACAAGCACAATAGCTGGACTTCTTCTGATCCCAGCCATATACCCTGGAAAATGCAGTCTGGAATAATTGCGATGCTTATTGTCTGATCTTTGTGAAAATTTCTAGCTTCACATGTGGCAAAAAAATATAAAGCACAAGACTCTGCCTTTAACTATGACTTTTCTTTGCGATTTGCGGGGAAAGCGGGCTGGTATGGAAAAAATAAAATATTTTCAAGCTGTGTATGCTAAACGAGACTCTAAAAACCAAGTTTGATGCATATAGCTCTTATATTTATCGAGTTATGCCCAAAAAACCAAGCTTCAAACTCGATATTTATCGATAATATGAAATTGAGAGAAGTTATCGACCAAGAAGTAGATTGAAGTGAACCTGACTAGATGAACGACTCAACTTGTGATCAAGATTATATATACTCTAGTGTCTCGGATATGTCCGCTTAGTAAAAGTTATCGATCAAGAAGAAGAGTGAGGCGTTCACACAGACGGACTTGATTAGATGATCGATTCAGCTCATCGTCCCGAAGAAAGATTATATATAGTTAAGTGTCTCGGATATGCCCACTTTTGGCTCTATTATATGTACTGGGTATACAAAGAACTTACCATAAATTTTGAAAGCGTAGAAAACTTTAATATCTCTGGGCGCCTGCTCGCTAAACACGGATAAAGCATCCAAGAAGTCCTCAAAGGATAAATTGCCCAGGCCATCGCGTGAGAATGCCTCGCCTGGCAAGTGGCAAGTGGGCGTGGCAAAGGGGCGTTTACCAAAAAAACAAAGAAAAAAACATAAATAAAAATGAAATTCTTTTGCTTATGAATGCGGCATTGTGGCAGTTATAGTTGTGGCAGTTGTTGTTGTTGTACTTACAGATACGTCGCCGAAAGGGATTCTCACGCAACTCGGGCATCTTCTCAATGCATTCGCGTGGAACCTTGACACTTGAGGCCTGACCCTCGGTCATTTGGCGTGGCACCAAATCCGGACGCAGCTCACGAAAGCGTTTATGCACGCTGCGTCCAGGGGAGAGAGCAAACGCAGGCGCTTGATGAAAGGCTTTGTTGTGCCAGTGTGTGTGTGTGCGAATGTGTGTGTGTGTGTGTGTGTGTGTATTTTTGCTGAGTGCCACAACAAAAGGTTGCGCCAAACAATGGCGCCACAGCTTCGTGTTTGAACGGAAAATAGTTGCCGCTTATTATATTAACACAACAGAAATAACGTATACGCCCCGTGGCGGGGCGGGCCATTCCATCATCATATACAAACCGCAGAATCTCCTTGCGTGTGAAAAACGTGCAATCCTTTTTAAAGAGAGCGAGAACATTTGTTGGTTAAAGCGCTTAAAGCTGGGCAATTCGCACCTGATAGTCATCCAATTGCTGTTCGGTGAATGTCACAATTTTGTTGCCCATCCTGCTTAACCAATTGTGTTTGTTTATGCACAGCTTCTGGCCAAAATGGGGTAACGCGGCCAACTGACAACTGCCAACTGCTGCCTTCTGCAAACGCTGCTGAGCGACTGGCAAAACACAGCGCGAGCGCCAACTTTGCATAGAACAACCTGAATCAGGATCAGGCCCAGCCCAGGCCCAACTCGGGCCCAGCCCCTGACTGACACATCCTGCGGCGCCTTTTGCAGCGACAGCGTATGGCTCCAGCTAGTCCTGGCCGCATTCGCATGGAAATTAATTAAGGAGTGTTCACGTTGTGCTATATTTTCCTCTTTTTTTTTTCTTTCTTGTTGTTTCTCTGCCCTGCCCTGCCGTGACCTGGCCATGCCTCGCCTCGCCTGTGGTTTGTTTGACAGCGAAAAGGCAGCGGCAAAACGCGTTTACGCGAGGCGCGCCACACGGCTAAAAAATCCAGAGAGTACATTTTAGCTTTAGAGTGCCGAATATTAGATGCCCTTAGATACACTTTAAAGTAGTAGCAGCCAAAATAAGTACTCAGTTTTTATACGATTCTTCTATGGCAACTAAAAGACGTGAAGGTCTTTTGTTTGTTGTGAGAGAATTCTATTTTTGACTGAGTTTTCAGATGGCAGAGAAGTCTAATTTGATTGAGATCTTTTTTATATATTGAAGCGAAGCTAAGCTGAGCTTGATTGAGATATCTGCAAAAAACAAACCAGAATGAAAGGGTATCTTCAGCACGCCGAAGTTTGAATACCCTTGCAGATATATGACTTACGGGCTTGCATATATGAGAGCCAACTTTAGTAATTGCTGTGGTCAAGATATTTTAAAAAGCCGAAAAGTTTTTCCATACATTAATTCATTTATCGACCCATGCTTCCTATGGACATATATATCATATAGATGGTAGAGCTATATTAAATAGTAATACGTTCTTTTCTTAAGATACTTTGAAATACAGAAGCCTTTTTTCCATATAAAAATGTAATTATCGAACCATGTTTCTTATAGAGCTATATGATATAGTAGCTATACTATCTGATATAGCAGCATATATTGTAAAACAAAAAAGTTGAATCGATCGCACCTAGGACAGCTACATATATGATATAGTATGCCGATCCGATCGATTTCGATATTGCCTGCAGCATTAATCGAATAAATATAAGTTTTATCAAATTACATTTTCAAAACGGAGCGACTCACTAGCATAGCGACAAACCGACAGACATGACTATATCTATTCAGCTGCTCCAACAAATCAGAAATATAAATACCTTATGGAGTCAAAGACATCTCCTTCTGAGCGTCATAATTAAAGTACACCTTGCCAGGGTAAGGCAAAAGCCGCAGCGCTTAGGAGGAAAAAAAGTGTAGCACAGTTTTGTGCGCTGCGAATTCGATGCGCGCATTTTTTAGCTGAATGTCGTGAGTTTATTTAATTAATTTAATGCTCGGCAACACTTTTCGATTTCGCGTGTATGCTTTATAAATTTATGAAAGTGACTATCGGGCTTCGGGTCCAGATCGAGCACGCTCAGCTTGGTCAGAAACTGACGGTCCCGCACGGAAACCAGCCAAGGCTGCAAAGCGCTGCAAAAGTTAACACTTATTAGCTGCACCTGCATGTGTGTGTGTGTGTGTGTCTCGCTTACCTGTTGTGCCTGGCCGGGCAGCGTATCTCCTGAAACGTCAGCATTATGGAACAGTCGAGTGCCGTGGCGCCCAGCATGTACGCCTGCTCGGCGGCCAGCTCATCCACATTATCCCACGGCTGACAGCTGAGCAGCTGTCGCAGCGCCTCGTAGCTGGGCGTGGCATGTGCTGCATATCCCAGTTGCCACATGTAATGAAAATGCCGCTGTAATTGGCAAAAGAAGAAAACGTTTGGCGAAAGTTAAGCGACAGTCGAACAGACAGACAGACAGGCCACCAAATCTTCGAGCTGTGCCAAAAGTGCCAGCCACTTGGCTTGCGTCCAAGTGAGCGAGCGTCCAGCTACAAATCCCACTGCATCCTTTCCCCTGTCCCCTCTATCCCCTGACCGCTGTCCCGTTGCCCGTTTAGCTGCCCTTTCAATTTCTTCTTTTAGCACGAGGCACTCGCCTGAAGCATTGTTGAAACATCAACCAGGTAAAGCTCAATGTAGTTGCCTTTGTGCAACTGCTGCACTTGAGCAGCAGAAACAAAATAAGAAAAAAGGTCAGGTAGCAACAAGCAGAGAGTGATTGACCGAGTGATACCCTGTAGTTTGTTGTGCATGTGTACTTCTCTGACAAGTATTCGTAAATATAGAAGAATGACAATCTAGATTAAGCTAGATTGGTCAAGAGGCAAGCAGAGAGTGATTGACTAAGTGATACCCTGTAGTTTGTTGTGCATGTGTACTTCTCTGACAAGTAAACATAAGAGATTAACAATCAAGATTAAGCTAGTTTGGTCAAGAAGAAGCAAGCAGAGAGTGCTTGACTAAGTGATACCCTGTAGTTCTACAAGTATTCGTAAACATGAAATAATTACAGTCTAGCTAAGCTGTCAGTTTTAGGCCGAGGTACTCTAATAACTAATTGCTGACAAATTGCTTTCATATTTTTGAACAGGAAAGCGTTTGAGGGGAAAGTGTTAGCTGTAAGAAACATATTGGTATCGCTTGGGAGATACTTTGGCGATAGCATGAACGTATTCCACATTTAAATCTAATAACTGGCTGCCAAAATAAAGCCTTGCTAATCACCTGGCGCTGGCTTTAAAGAACACTTCCTAGCATTTACAGGGTATATAAATAGTTATTCGAACAGATCAAGCAGAGTATGCTATGCTGCCTGATTATTCGACCCGCTTTCAATTTGGTTAGGGTATAAAATTGGGTGAAAGCCTCAGCCGTTGGCCATCAAATGTGCTTGGGGCCGGGCCGGGCGGGGCGGGGCGGGTGGGAAAATAAACAAAAGTGATGATAGCCAACGGCAGCAGAAATTTCTTCAGCTTCTGCTTCTTCTTCTTTATCACGTACCTTTACCAGCAATTGCAAATGCAAAATTTTTTGCAGCACACAATTTTTTGGTAAGTGAAATATTTCCGCTTTGTTGATCTGTGCTTGAGTCGGAGTTGGAGTCGGAGCCGGAGTCGGAGTTGGAGTCGCCAGTGTTTCCGTTTCCATTTCCGTTCGAGCCACATTCGTTGACAACCCGGTTGGGGCAATTGTTGTCCTTTCGGTTGTCCTTTCGCTTGTTGTTTCTGTTGTTGTTGTTGCCATTTTGCAACGCTTTGTGTACCTTTGGCTGGTTTTTTCAGCAGCAGCTGCTGCTGCTCTCGCGCCGCGTCGCTGCGGCTGACCAGCAACAGCTTTGACAAACTCATCGCCCTTCTCCTCTTTCCCCTCCTGCTGCTGTTTCACCTGCCCGGCAGCAGCATCAACATTAGCCACGCCAATTTCTGTAGTTTCTGTAGCTTTTGTCTTGGTGCCACAACGTTTGAATGTCGATTCCCCGAATGCAGCAGCGCCTGCCACGTAGCTGTGGCCATCCTCTCTGCTGCTGCTGCTGCTGCTGCTGCTGTTGTTGTATTCCCTGAGCAGGCAGGCGACCAGCAAATGTTTTATAAGCGCCATAATTTCACTGGAGAATTTCAGAGATTTTATGACCATGGCGTTGGCGTTGGCATTGGGCAGGGCAATGGGATTGTATTGGGGATTCGGATTCGGATTGGGTTTGGGCATGGATTGGGTTGTCCGATTGGCGTTGGCGTTGGCGAGGTTTCCAAAAATTCGTTTGTTAGCATTTTCAATGCACATTCCAATTTTGTTGTCGTCGTCGTTGTCGTCGTCGTCGTCGTTGTCAACGTTGTGCCAAGGTGTTGAAATGAGTGAACAAAACATAAAAGCAATGCCAAGAGTTTGGCAACAAGAAAAAGTAGAAATGAAAATAGAAAATAAACAAGAGAAGGGGAAGAAGGGGAAGGGGAAGGGGAAGGGGAAATGAATGGCAATGTTAGCGGTTGGCACTCGAGAATTTGTGTTTGGCTGTTGCTTGCATTATTTATTGAATATTTGCGTGTTGAACAATTGCTTCCAGATTTTTACTCTCTTTTTTATTCGGTTGGGTTTTCGTAATTGTATAGCTGGCATGGAAATTTTATGTTGCGCACAATATAAACACATTCGATTACAATAAATTTGCAGCGCAAGCAAACAAATCGTTGGGAATTGCATTCAAATATTTAATGAAATATTCTATGAAGTATTTAAATAATATTTAATGCAAATAAAAGTTAAGTCTTGCTTTAAATTCAATAACAATAACATTGTAACATTTGAAGTGCTGTTACTTAACATAACAGCAGCTGATTAACAGCTTATTTGAATTGCACTGCTTTAACATGCTGCTAATAACAGCTATGCTTAATTAACAGCAACTAAACATTTCATTGCCTGTAAAGAGGTAGCTAAATGTCTATAAACTAGATTTACAATATGTCCGACAGCTATGCTTAATTAACAGCTGTTTAACATTTCGTTGACTGTTAAGAGCTGCATAGTACAATAACAGCTGTTAACAGTTGTTTAACATTTATCTGACTGTTAGCACTCAATTATGTTTAAAAGAGGTTTATTTGCAAAGAGATTCTGCAGGCAAATATTCACTGAAGTACAACAATGAAACACAAAATACGTGACTTTGCAGGAATGATCAGCATTTAGCTGATAAACCCAGACAGCCAGACAGATACATATACATATATTTGCCCGCTGTTAATATTGATAAAAATGCAAACAATTTGCGCTTACCCTGGAAAAACTCGAGTATGCAGCTCCTCGCAGGAAATCGAATTCGCGTGATCGCCATAAATTAAATTGCCGCTCTGAAATACACGTAAATTATTTTGCGGACAAGCGAAAAGTGCATTCAAGGCATCGAGCATACGACCGGGTTGACTAAAAAAAAAACCGAAGAGCAAGAAAAAAATATATATGTCTACATATATGAAATAACACTATTAAAACATAAATATATGTATATAAATGGATGAAATAAATGCAAGCTGAAAAAGAGGCGAGCCGAAAACCACTTTTTTTTTCGGGCAAAGCCAAGTCCGTAAAAAGCCCAAAACGAAAAGAAATAAAACGCATTGAGAGTGGATGCGAAGCAGGCGGTAAACCGGAATGAAAGCGCAAGCAAATTGAATTTCGTGCACGGATGCACGCATGACTTAAAACAGCGGGCCACAAATAAACGAATGAGCCGCGGGATTCCACACACCCAAAAAGAAAGCACCGTACAGGCGGGCCATGCTATAAAGGTTCGAGCCGGAAACCGGGCAAGGCAAAAAGTGCCAACCCGAAGGGCCCGCAGGTGGAACAAGCCGCAGGAGCAGCAGCAGCAGCAGCGGCAGCGGCAGTTGAAAGTGTTGGAATTATGAAGCACGACAGGACACGCAAATGGAGCAGATTAAAATTTATGACTTAAAGGCGTGCGGCAAACAGAAGCCCAAAGCCCAAACCCGAATCCGTGCCCAGCCCAAAACTTACCCGGAGAAGAGCTGCAATGGACAATAGTTGCCCAAACGTTTGATTTTGCCCGACTGCAACTGCGGGAGAGGAGGGAAGGCAAGAGAAATTGAGAATGTTTGTAAATCAAATAACAAGTAGTTGGCTCCACACACACACACACACACGTGCACACTCGCACACACACACGTGCACACTCACCTTAACGAGCTGCATGCTGCAATAGCGACACCTGCATTTGTCTGGATTTAACATGGACTGAACTGTTGTTGGCCGCACCTTAGCCGGTTCAGAGGTTGTGTTGTCGCCGTCGCCTGTTGGCATTAAATCAAATAAATCGCTGACATCACTTGGCAACTGGATCCAGCCCTGTTTCGGTTTTATTTCGATCGCATATGTATCGCCCAGCCGGCTGATTCCACAGCTCCGGCTCTGGCTCCGGCTGCTGCTGCTGCAGATGTCTGCATCCATGTCCGTGTCCATGTTCATGTCCTTTGCCTACAAATTATTTCGTTTGGCTTATTCTGTCTTTCTTTTTTATTGTGCTGCTGCTGCTGCTGCTGCATGGCAAATGGAGTTGAATGCGGGGCCGTGCGCCAACTTTTGCCAGCGTTGACGCCATTTTGACTTGAAAATGGCAACGACTAGCGAAGTGGAGTTGAGTGCGACACAAACAACCAGCAAAAAAACACACACAAAAAAAAGCAAGAAAGTATGCTGCAGTCGGCAGTGAGCAACTGGGAGATACCCTGTAACCAGCACCAAGCTGCAGTTACAAATAGCCAAAGTTTCTTCTACTTTATACAGGTGTAACTAAGAAAACAGATTCATTCCGGTTCTGAGCATGCCTTACGAGAGTCCACATACCGAATTTGGTGACTGTAGCTCTTATAGTTCTCGAGTTATGCTCAAAAAACAACACTATCGATATCAATTGTTATCGATAACTTGGGAACGGAGCAAGTTATCGATGAGTTAAAGCTAACTTGATCTGCGTGTGCCATAGATGGAGCTACATCCGAAATTTCAAGTAAATAGCTATTATAGTTCTCGAGCTAGAGGCGCAGACAGAAGGACATGGCAAGATCGACTCGACTATAGAAGCTGATCGAGAATACATAAACTGGGAGCTGTTATATATATTTGCACAAAAACAATATACCCATTTTGAGCAGCTGGGGCAGAGCAGTCGGCAGGCAGGTTATCGCTGCCAGCCTGAACATGAACTGTAACTGCCTGCTATTGTCCTGGTTGTCCTGGTTATACTCCTTGTTGTTGTTGCTGCTGTTGCTGCTGTTGTTGCTGCTGTTGCTGCTGCTACTGCAACATAAAACAAAAGTTGTTGCTTGCCGCGCTGATTGTATGATGAGTTATGGCACAGGTAAAAATATGCCAACGGTCATTCCTGCAGCCATGTCCACACGCGCGGCTCAACTTGAAATTGAAAATTAACATTTAAAGCCAAAATTAAAAGCGGCACTTTTCCCGCTGGCCTCACTCTGCCAGCTGCTGCTGCTCCGGCTTCGGCTTCTGGCGCTGCTGACCGGCTGCTCGGCGTTCTCCGCATATCCTGTGCGGCGCGCAATATGGCGTTAGTTATGGCGCCGTAACTATTGTTTTTTTTCGTTACTTCTTGCAATTTTATTTCGGTCAATGCTTTGGCAGCAAAGCCATAAATTGAATATATAACCATCGTGCACAGAGTGTGGCTACAACGTGCGCCTAGCTCGACCCCAAAGATATCCTGTGCGTGTTTGCCCGTGCATCAATCGAAACAATATAAAAACAAGCACTGGCGGCATCTAGCGGCAGTCAGATGCGCATCAATTGCATAACCCAACGCTAGATGTCGCCAACGTTTGTTTTATTTTCCTATATCATTTTTGAATTTAAAAACATTTCGAAACATCTAAATGGGCAGATTTTAAATTCCACGCATACTTTAACGGGCATATATAGATCTTAATCTTAATTTAAAAAGTTGGGGGAGAGGATTTAGTATAAAAACATTTTATCAGCTAACTCGAGCGTGAAAAAGGCTCACTTATCATGGAAAATTAATTATTATGTGATATTTCTGAGGCATAAGAACTGCAGTCGCTTTTCAATTCCTAGTTTTTATTATACATTAGTTGCTTGGTTAAAGCTGCTCAGTGGAGCACGATATTTGGGGATCGAAACCCCGCAAAGGCAAAATACATATATATTTTTAATGTATAATTTGATGAGAAGCATTCTCTAAGGGAGTTTAAGAAGTAAGGGCGTCATAAATTCCATCGAAAACCTTTTTATGGAACCCAACTAGATCAGACACCGATCTAATCATATTTATCTACATATATATGCGAAATGTGTGAGACGTTTCCCAATTGCAAAAGAACTTAACTACACGAGAACGATAAGATTCAGCTATCTATGACATTCCACACGCAACTGTGGAAAATCAGCGGAAAACGTTTACTCTCGACTCTGAAATCGTTTCTAAACATCTGTGGAAATTATTATAAAATGTTTACAGACGGAAGAAGAGGACTTGACCCGTGCAAAGCTGGATAATACCCACTAATTAATATATGCACATAATTTGTAGCTCAGCTAAGCTAGCCATTTCTATAGCGTACAGGGTATGTTGAACTAGTGGCTTTGGCGGCACTTTCAAAGCAATTTCGTCGTCTTTTATAACCGCACAAACCGAAACGACCATCGGGTCCAGGCAAGGTTTCAGCTGGCCACAGCAACAACAACAGCAACAACAACAACAGCAGCAACTAAAACAAAGGCAACATTGGCAATAGCAACAACAATGTGTTTACACTGTTGCCCACTTTAATTCAAAACAAAGAACCGTTGATTTATGTTGCCTTAGCTGCTGCAGCCATGTCCACAACCATGTGCCCGGCTCCTGGTTTAGCTTCATTTTTTCTCTCCTTTTTTTTTTGGATTTTGTGTTAGTGCCACACAAAGGCTAGCTAAACCGCAGCAGCGCATATGGCCGAAAAAGCACAAAATGCCAATATTGTCCTTGTACAAAATATACAATATATTCGAGCCAATAGCCCGCCAATATAGCAGGAGCAGGAACTCACCTGTATATTGGCAAGTAGAACATCGAATGTGGCAGGCAATTGGGTCACATCTGGCAGCAGCAGACCGAATGGCCCCACAAATTCCTTATCGAGGCGCGCAACTGCAAAATGAAAGGGAATGGGAATGGAACATGAATGTAAAGTGTAGCCGGTTGCGATTATTGATATATAGATACTTGGACGCCGGCCGGGTTTAGCGCGGCTGGCAATGATAAATTGTGGCCAGCGCGGCGAGCTGCAGCCTGTTGCTGGCCCAGGCCAATCCTCAACTAGCTGCCATATAAACCGAATTTTGATATATGGCTGCGACTATTGGCTGGCCGTTGGCCGCCACACTAATCAGTCCCATGTGCAGCTCCACTTTGATGCACAATTTAGAAACTGGAGCACGCCCGAGACTGGGAATGGGACTCCGACAGCGGACGGAGACGAGGTCCGCACTAAAAAGCTCGTTTATGATTGATTGCTTTGGCGGATAGAAAGGCTTTTGGATGCAGGCCAAGGCGGCGCAAGTGCAGCGCGAGCTGATCAAATACAAAATGTTGCCGATGACGATAGCATAAAAACATGCACACCAGAGATGGACACGGGTCGGCTACTTAAAGCACGGCTCAACACGAACACGGTCCTTGCCAGGTCAACAAGGTCGAGAATCAAGTTTTCCAAGAAGGTTTTAGTTAACATTCTGTTTCACTCCAGCTCAGAGTCAAGAGATCAGACCTAATAGATCGGACTCTGATGAGGCTGTACGAAACATGTACGATATGCCACGGAGTAAAACACGGCCAAGGGTCCAGGCCATCTCTAATGGACACCCACACCCGCTCTCTCTGATGTCATGCTCAGATATGAACTCACCCGGCCTGTGGTCGCGTATGTGCTCGTTTATCCAGAATCTATCGCTTTCCTTTGGTATGGCAACAATATCCGCTGCACAGACAAACTCATTTCCTAATAGACGGCGCATTATCTCGATATAAGCCATAAAATCCGGCATTGTCAAGACGCCAGCTAGAAGAGAGGCAAAACCAAGAAATAAGATAAATGAAATAAACACATCTGATGCAATGGCCAAAAGATGCACAGCCAGCCACAAAAACAGATACGACTACGCTCATACAAATATATATATATACAGATACTTATATAAATATATATTTGTATGACCCTAGTACATATACACACGTCTGCAGAAGTACGTACAAAGCCAGAGCAAAAGCCAGCCAAGCGGGCAATAAGCATCGCACAATACACAAATTGGCCACCAGAAGCAGAGGAACTCAGCTTGCTTTTGGCTGCGGCTTCTAGGCATTGGGAAGCTATTGTTATACCCTTGCTGAAAAAAGATAAACATATATTTTCTCATATAACATATATGCATTAAACAAGTCTCCAAAGTTGAAAGCTATTTGTCGATCTGTCTATTTGTAGCTGAGAGGAGATATGCCAAGGAGGCAGGGATCGGTTCATATAGGGAAGATCGAACAACAATTAAATTCTAATATGAAATTTTGTTTTTCAAGATATCCTAAGAGCCAATCCATACGGACATAGGTAAACTCTATCATATTGGTTAAAACTTAATAACATTTCTGCTTTTACGATATCTTAATTATCCCTTTCAAAGCGGACTATATTGCTCTTATGGGATATATCAGTCGAAAAGAAGGCCTTTGTATAAAGGCCCTTTCAGGTCATATGCCTTTAAAGGGTATTTAAGCTTCGGCAAGCCGTAGCTAGCTGTGCTCTTCTTGTTGTTGTTGTTGTTGTTGCTGCTTTTGGTTTAGCTGGGGTGTTTGAAGTTGCACGCAACCATTTCCTGTCCAAAAGTAACAACAATAACAGCCCAACATGCATACAGATTGTATATGTATATCTATATATATATATGGTAGATATATGTATGTGGAGGAGCCAACCTTTTGCGCTTGCTGGCTGCGTTGGGTCGGAAACGCTGGGCTGTCCTTCCGGCCCGGCTTGGACGGTCGTCGTCGGCAACTGGCAACTGTTTTGGCGTGCCTGGGCCGGGTGCGGCGGCACAGAGAGCGAACGCCGACTGCTGGATATCATTTTTGGCAAACGTAAAACTTTTTTAAATTGCGGCAATGCCAGCACCAAATTTGCATTACCCTCCGCCCGATAGATCAACTCAATTTGGCTCATCTCCATCTGCGCGGGCATGTGCAGCAGCGCGTTTAGAGTCTTAGCTCCTGCCGCTCCTGCTCCTGCTGCTGGCTGTTGTGCCGGGGGTGGAGACGACGGCGGAGCAGCTGCAGCAGTTGTCATGACTTTTGCGCGGGTGTTTGCGGTTCGTTGGCGTTGTCAAAATGCAACTGACACGGACGAGAGTCTCTGTCCGCTCAGTCCCAGCCTGGCCCGGCCCACTGGCGCGCCAGTGTTGATGATTTTGCCGATTGTGGCTTGTTGCGGTTGGGATTTTGTGGTTATTTGTTATTGTTGTTGTTATTGTTGTTGTGCGGTGCCCTCTGGCTGCAGCTTGGCACGTTTGTTGAACTTGGTTGTTGTTGTTGTTGCGATAAGATAATCCGCTTGCAAGGCAAATGGCGCTTGTTTATATAGAAATGGTTGCCTGAAAAAAGCTTTAATGAATTGCCATATATGTATATCAAAAATATACGCTGCAGTTGTATATTTACGAAATTGAAACAGAATTTAACAGCAGCTGTAATTAAATTATTCAATAAGTCGCGGCTAACACGAAAAGATCACAAAGCTGGCTTAGCGGTGCACAGAACAGTGTGACCAGACTTTGAACTGAGCAGCAGCTGTTTGTGGCGGTCGGCCGATAATCGATCAAGCATAAAAATACCAACTTTTCATATATTCTCTACCAGTGGCAAGAGTGTGACCATACCTAGCGTGGCGCAAAAGCGCAAATTTTAAATGAAATTAACCATTAATTGATGTTTTTATTATTTTATTTAATTTACTGCCATTTAAAATTTAGTTTTTGCGTATGTATTGACCTTTGTCCGTTTGTATCAGCGTGTGGCCGCCAGCATTAATGACTTGCGTAGCTATAAAAATAAATAATCCAATTTAAATAAGTACACTTTACATATACTATATAGAAATGTATATATTACCAGCATCCGCACTAGCCAGAGCCGCGATGAGCGCAAAAACAAAGCCGCAGATCTTTAGACAGTTCATGTTTCTTTCTATCTGATCGATTGTGACAATATGCCTAGAGATCGCAGCGAACTGCGCTTTTATAGCCGCAATGCGGGAGAGCAACAAATGAGCTGGAAATTCCAGTCCAAGTTTTTATTTTCAATACGTAGAAAAATACCCAAAGCCCTGAACAACAACACAGCTGATAACTCGTACTAATACTTGTACTAAGATTAATATAATAAATGCTTAAATGCACTTGGCTTGAATGTGGGTTAGCTGATTTACTATGACATACGGTAATATATACTATATAGTATTAGATCATGCATGTATGTGCTTACTATAAAATAATATATATGCTTGATATATGTATATGTCATTATATTTAAGGCCGTATGTTTAAGGGCTAGACTAGCAAATACCGTTTACTAAGGCCTGAGCTAAGTTTTGATATTTTTTAGAGTAATTAAGGATTAGCAAGTAAGAGGTTCTAGTCGGGAGCTCCCGACTAGGGGATACCCTATACCCTCTTCTTCTAACAGGCGATAGTTAAAAAATGAAAGATACTTGGTGACTCAAGCTCTTATTATTCACCAAAATTGCTCAAAAGACAGGATTTTGATATCGATTTTTATCGATTACTTGGAAACGGGGCAAGTTATCGAATATCGGAAACAAACTAGGAGGACCTACAGCTAAAATTTCAAGTCTCTAGCTCTTATAGGTTCTGAGATCCTTGCGTTCATACATACGGACAGACAGACGGACGGACAGACAGACTGACGGACAAACAGACGGACATGGCTAGATCGACTCGGCTATTGATGCTGATCAAGAATGCATATACTTTATGGGGTCGAAGATGCTTCCTTCTGCCTGTTACATACATTTGCACAAATACATAATACCCTTTTAACCCATTTTCAATGGGTTCAGGGTATAAAAAGGGATTCTCAGATCAATTTATTCTGTCAGAAAATCGATATAAATATTTATATGTTTTTTAATCAGACACAGGAAGATTTAAAGATGATCTATCAGTTAACCTTCTCAGCATAAAAATGATATTTATTTACAATCAGCAAAAAGTATTTAAATTATAGGATATTTAAGTTATGTTTTCATTTGCATTTCATTGAGTAATAGACAAACTATTATTTAAAAAAAGTAATGTCTCTCAGAAGTCTGATCCAGTTTTTAGTTGACGTTCAACAATCTGCTGATTGGCTGGGCGATTAGTTAGCTGCGATCTTTTTAACCTGCGTAATTCCATTTTGATAGGAATTTCCCGAGATCAACCGCAGTCAGCAGCAGAAGCAGCAGCAGCGGCAGCCTGAGGCTGCTATAAAAGATCGACTGGGCTCTCAGTTGGGATCAGTATCAATTATACAAAGCACACACAAACAATCAATCAATATGAAGATCTTCCAAGCTGCTGCCCTTCTGCTGGCCATGATCGCCGCCCTCGCCAGCGCTGAGCCCGTGCCCAAACGTAAGTCAAACATTTTTTTGTTGTTGACAACGTATATAATTTCTAATTATTATTCAAATATTTTCAAATATCTTTACAGCTGGCACTGTGCTGGTTCAGACCGACAATACGCAATACATTCGCACGGGTTAAGTTTTGAAAATTAATATCTGCATCGCTTTTAAAATAAACGGAAATGTTGAACTAACAAAAACAAAACTAAAATGTTGTATTTATATTCAGGATTCTTCATTTTCAGCAATTGCATCAAATGTGTAGAAATTGCATGTTACAAATTGTTTTGTCTCCGGACAATTTGCAGGCAAATGTGTTTCAAATGTTCACTTGCCATAAAAATCAACAAGCAAGACAATTCATTTGCAGTACGACGAATATTATATGCTCTACCATTCAAATTGTACAGAGCTCAATTTTATTCATTTTATTCGTGACAATTCATTTGCAGTGCAACGAATATTATATGCTCTACCATTCAACTTTTATAGAGCTCAATATTAGATGGAAATTAAATTTAAATCTTGGATTTCAATAAAGACAGACAGGAATATATGTATCTATAATCTGCTCTGACTGAAAGCTCAAATCGTTCGCTTTGCAAACGTGACGTCATGGACTTAAGTCGGCAGGTCGCCGGTTCAAGTCGCAGCAGCAAACTTTTAATTGGTGCATTTGTTTATTTGATTTGTTATTATTCGCAATAAACAAATCATCTGTCATAAATTAAAGCAAGTATATTATTATTTTATTCACTTTAACAATATTATAATACCCTTTGATAGAGTATTCCGTAATTATATGCAACAGTTGCTTTGCTGAGCAGTTGACAAGAAACGAATTAAACTATTATTTGATTTCCGGGAATTTGTGCTTTTGCTTAACAGAAACCAGTTCCAAGCACGTGTTTACTCTAATGGATTCTAGGAAGCCAATAAGTCTAATTGACAGCCCATTCATAAAGTTTTATGTAACGGGAAACAGTTGCACTATATAATATCGATATATATATATGTAGGAAGATTTGAACAAAAGACAAGTTGTCAGATACTATAGAAAAATATCAAGAATATTACATTATTTATGATTAACTAACAAGTTACATATACTATAAGAAATACAAGAAAATTATATTATTTAGGTTTAAAGAAAAGTATATGGACTTCTAGATAGTTAGATAGAAACTTAAAAAAATAATAATAAATAATAGAAATGAAATGAGAAAAAAAAAGTAAAAATAATAATAATAAATAAAATAAATAAATGGGAAAGAAATGTAAGAATAATAATAGTAATAAAAAATACACAAAAAATTATATAAATAAATATTAAAAAAAAAATTTAAATAATTTAATAATATATATATAAAACGAATGCCTTTATAATCATTATTATTAAATGATTATCATTATTACTTAAATAAATATAGTCGAACGTATTTTATTATCATTATTTCTTAAACAATAAATTGAGTATGCAGCATTTGAAGTATAGGGTATTCCATAGTCAAGTCAAGTCTGTTTACGCACATAATTTAAGAACTTTAATCAGAATTGATCACAAATACTTGACACTTTTTAAATTGCACATCTTAATTTTCCATTTCCAGAGAAATACTTAGTATTAAATTTTGATGTAAGGCGTAGGGTATTTCCTAGTCGAAACACGTTTTTGGATTAGCTTTGCTTCTGCTTGCATTACTAATACGTAATTAGAATGATGCTGGAAACGGGTTTTCGCATCAACTTGTTATCAGCCAAGTTGACATTGTTGTTGTTGTTGTTGTTGTTGTTGAATTGATTTGATAGCACATCAGGCTGGAAATGCCCCGAGACTGCTCAGCGACATGCAAAACTAAGGTCTAGTCGCTTGTTTACCATATATATACTATATATATATGCACTGCGCTGGAAAACTGAATAGTTGGGAGTTTGTTTTAGTTGCCTGGCTTGCCAGAATGCTGGCCGGGCTGCATAGAAGGTTGGACTGCAGCTAACCGAGAACCGAGAACTGAGAATTGGGCAGACCTCAAAAAAAAGCGCCGCTCATATTTAAACTGGGCAAAACTTGAAACAATTTCAACCAAAAAGCGAAAACTATTCGCTTGTCCTGTGGCTGCCGCTTTTCCGGGACCTGCCATTGTTTCTCTTTGAGCCGTGCTGAACCCCCCTCCCCCCTGTCCGCCCACCCCCCCCCCTCTGTGTACTAGTCCATTTTGTATGCTTCCTTACATCAACAATTATTTGAAACTTTTACCGCAAATATTTCCTTGGCTGGTTTTACGCCTGAAATAAATTGTAATAGAAGTTGCCTGGTTAACAGCTCGTATGACTGCGAGCGACTTTGCGGCGGCGGCGGCTGCCCACTGGCTGCCAATTTCTTGGCCCCAGCACAGCCCAGCTCCGGCGGAAGCTAATCCTTTTGATTTTCAACTGCACAAATTCCAGCTAACAACAATTTATGTGCCCCAGCACCGCCTCCACTGACTGGCAACAGTTGCTGCGGCAACAGCCATGCAATCCATTGTGTGTGTGTGTGTGTGTGTGTGTGGAGCAGTCAATAACCAGGCTTGACTGTAGCCATTGTTTGGACTGTGTGTGTGTGTGTGTGGCTCGTGGAATTTGCAACGTTTACGCTGGAGCATTTGCGCTGGCGGGCAACCAGACCAAGTGCCGGCACAGACTTTCATCTAGTATCAAAGTGAATTTTGCGGCCAATGGGAATTATGAGGCAAAAAGTCGAATACGCAGCGCTACAGCCAAATGTAATCGCAATCAGGCAGGACCATGCCCACGCCCGCTTATCCCACAGCGTTTATTGGAAATTAATTTATACGTTTCGCCCGGCTGGAGTATTTCTCTATCTGGCCAAATGAGTGAATTCCCCTTTGCCAAAAATTGTTCCAAATGGGCTTTTATTTGCTTTTTAACTGCTGCAAATCGAAGCCTTAACTGACTTTGACTATGTGGCTCAAATGCATTCACAGACACGCATCGCAATTGACGGAACTGAAATCTTTAAGGTTTCAATTGGCCGGGTTTTTTTTTTTTTTTGCAGCCCGTCGTGATAAGCGCGAGAGCGCGGGCAAAGCCCAAACGTCGCGAGCTGCTTTTGCGACTATAAAAGCAGCTGCCGGAGCTTGTTCTAGATCAGAGTTAAAGAGACAACGCTTCAGCACAAAACCAATTATAAAATATATATATATAAACAACATGCAATTCGTCAAGATCTGCGGCTTTGTTTTCGCCATGATTGTGGCCCTGGCCAGCGCCGAGCCAGAGCGTAAGTACTAGCAGGATATAAAATCCTTGGCCTGTTCTAACTAAGTTTCTCTCTCTCTCTCTCTATTTACAGCTCAAGGCACGCTGCTGATACAAACCAACAATGCTCAGGGCATTTTCACGGGCTAGAAATGTCGCCAGACACACATTCACTTTAAACATATCCTTTGATCTAATTTAAACACAAACTTTCCTTAAAAAATGACATTAAAAAACTCTTAAAACTTATTTAAATGAAATGTTTTCAATTATTCTGAACATTCAGATGCCATATTATCAGATTTTCTGCTGAAAATAACAAATGGTCTATTAAAACTAGTGCAACTTAACAAAACTTCTGAACAGCGGACTAGCAAGCGGAAAGTTGCCAGTTCAAACCCAGCAAAAGATCTACTTTAATATGTTATAACATCGAAGTAACTACTGAAAAGAATAAATAACCGGAGGACCTTATGTATCATAATAATAAGTCTATTAAAATAAGCCCAAGCTTATTTAATTTCTGAGCAGCGGGAAGTCGCCAGTTCAAATCTAGCAACAATTTTCAATGTTTATCACAAATATACCATATAATTTCATCCTGAATCGACCTTATTACACTTTTATTCATTTCCAATATAATCAGCGTATCGGACTGGCAATTGGGGAGTCGTCGGTTCAAACCTAGCACCAATTGCGCATTAACATGCTATATAACACCTGAGCATATACTGAAAGGAACAAATAACTAGAGGACCTAGAGATAATTTCCGAGCATCGAACTAACAAACGAGAAGTCGCCAGTTCAAATCCAGCAACAATTTACAATGTTTATCACATATATACTATATAATTTCATCCTGAATCGACCGCATACTTTTTTTCATTTCCAATATAATCAGCGTATCGGACTGGCAACCGGGAAGTCGTCGGTTCAAACCTAGCAACAATTGCGGATTTAGATGCTATATATCACCTGAGCATACAGTGAAAAGAACAAATAACTAGAGGACCTAAAGAGATAATTTCCGAGCATCGGACTAAGAAGCACGAAGTCGCCGGTTCAAAACTAGTCTAATCAGCTATGTATACCTCATTAGGTCGAAGATGCCTGCTTCTATGAGGGAAGCGTACAATCAACCCTGAAGCGCATCTAAATCCACCTCCGGATGGGTTTATTTATTTCGAACATAACCAGCGCAAATCATAAAAATATATATATTTAGTGTAAAACATAAATTTAAAAAAGAAGATGAAAACAATTCTTTTAAAATGAACCGAAGCTAACAATTTAATGCAACACAGCGATCGCCCAGGGGCTGCTTCTTGCGCGCATTCAGGGCAATCCGACAGCCCTCCTCGTCGCAGAGGGCGCCGAACTGGGCCAATTGCTCGGCGCCAATGTGGAAGATGCGCGGGCAAATGGCCCACTGGCTGGGCAGGATGACGTTGCCGTTGGCATAGGTGCCGCGATAGGTGTAATAGTCCTGATTGAAGCACCACATCAAAGTGGCCAAATCGAACGGCGGCAGCTCGATGACCGAACCGGCGCGCCGTATGGCCCACAGATTCTCGACCACCTGGTCGAGAAATTGGTTCTTGTGGTGTGACAATGCGAACATATAGGACACAGTCAGGTATTCGTAGGCGGCATCGGGCACATTGGTGGCATGCAGCACCTGCATCTCCATGGCATAGCTGCGCGAGTCTATCGAATGCTCCGAGGCGCCCCACTTGAAGATCGCCTCCACAAAGTAATAGTTGCCCGGCAGCGTGCCGCCGCTTATAAACGGCGTACACTCCGGTCCGCAGGAGATGCGCATTATCACCGTCTTGCCATTGTTCTCCAGCAATATGGCCGGAGGCAGCTCATCGTAGCTGTACCACTGCAGCGCCTCCACGTGGTCCATCCGGAAGACGCCGCGTCGCGCGATATCGATGGGCGACGGCTGACGCTCGATTAGGCTCTTGCGCGGCTTTGGCTCGCACAGATTGCTCAATATAATGCTGGCCGACTTGACATGCACTATAAACACCAGCGCCATAATGCAGCTAACCAGCCCCATAAAGTAGTTCGACTCATAGGCAGAGTCCATGGCTCCGGCCACATGGGTGAAGAGACTGCTCCAAAGGTAACTCACCAAATCAAGCAGCATGTTCTATGGATATTCTGTTCAGTTTTTGGCTAGCTAGCTAAATCGAATACAATTGAGTATGTTAGTCAAATATGTGAGTACCGAATAGTCGAATAGCCTACTGAGAGTATTTGATTGAAGCTAAGTACGCCGAGTAGCCTGCTGCGAGTATTAAGCACAGCAAAAAGGGGGAACATTTAATTAAATTATTAACCAACTGGTGCTTTGAGTATAAATAAGTATAAATAAGTAAATAAGTGAGTATCTGTTGCACCCAACTAGGAGATACTCGAAATTCAGCTGACGTTACATACATTCGAAGTTCCTTCTCTCAAACCCAAGCTGCCTACCTTTGCTTTCCACAATTTGTATGGAAAATGCTTTCCCGATTAACTCCAGTATTTGCAGTCCAATTTTTATTAAATGTTAAGTGCTTTAATATGGCATACAAAAGTGTGAGTATATGGCATACGTATAAAAATAATTATAAGAAATCAGGTATCTAAAAAGTTGAATATTTAGGATGTGTTAAATGCGATGCTTTACTCTATGAGAACATACATAATATATAATCTTTCAGATCTGGGCAAAGAACCCAATTTTTAATTCGATATTTATCGATTTCGTAATTTGAGCATTCGATCATTTGACCTGAGCGGAAAACAGAAAGATTTGCATTCAAGATTTACGATTTAAGTCTCTCTAGAGTCTAAAAAACGATCTTTCCGTTGCCTCGCTGCTGGGGAAAGAAAGTTCATAAAATTTCGCACCTCTCCCATCAAATATTGTGAATGAAAAGAGAGTGTTGATATCGCGCATTCAAATTGTGAATGAAGCAAAGTTGAATCTCCTTTAGGATTTTAAAACAAAAATGAATATTTATAAAGTAATGATTCATAATTTGTAATGACACGAATCAACGCACAATTTTCGGCGAGAATTATTGTGATTAAATTCCACAAATAATTTACATCTAGGGCCAACATATTTTTTCAGTGTACTAAATCAGTGAAGCAGGCAGAATATTGCTTTGAATTAGCCAGAGCTGCGAATGGGCCCTGAGTCGATGTAAGCAGCTTTGTTGTGAATGATCGATCAATGGGGCAGGAGCTGTTGCTGTTGTTGCCACAAAGCGAGCTGAATGGAGGCTGGCATGCGCTTTATAGGCGACTGGGCAATTGCGAGCTGCTGGAGCTCTGCTGCGCCTGCAACTGAATAAATGGGCAGTTGAATGCCGACCTGCAGCATGATAATATTGCAATTGAAGGCTAGCAAAGGGCTATTGACGGGGCCCATGCTGAGGCCATGCAGGCGCTTTGAAGTTCTGTCGGCCCAAAGTGAGCCATTTAGTGAGCTCATGAATTGAAAGACCTTTGGCTTAGCCATCATAAACCAGATGCGATAACAATGCACAACGTACACAGAATACGTGCACAGCACGAAGACAACAGCCTGCCAGCAACTTATATAATAAATACCTGGCAAACGCAATGCACACGAGTCCTGTCGCCCCGGCTCCAGCTCCAGTTGTTGGTCCTGCATCCTGGCTGGCAAACTTTGCGGACGCGTGCTTCATAAAATAGTCACAATGCATGTTTTTGTGAAACATGAGTTGGCCACAACTTGCTGCCGGCCTAGGCATTTGGGCCATCTATGGCCGATTTGGCCATAAGCTTAAACCAAATTCGGTATATTAATGCTCTGCACCCAGTGAAAATGAATACAGAGGGTATATTCGCATTGTGCAGGTGTAAGTAACAGGCAGAAGGCGGCATCTGCGAAGGCATAACCTATATAGATACCTGATCAAGACGAGGTTCCAAGTCGATAAAAGGAGTACATCATTTTCTTTCGATATCTGCACTAATTTTTATATCGATAAATATCGAGTTTCAGCATAGCTCGAAGATTAAAAGATCAACATGCACCAAGTTAAAAATATTTTACTCTTTCGACACCTCTCCACATTTGATGTAAGATAAAGCCGGCATATTTCTCACGGCAGCCTGCCGCTGACATGCTGGGTATCTGCTAGTCGTGCACACCCGACCAGAGCACTCTTTTAACTTGTTTGCCATGTAATTACACGTGCACAGGCAACAGGCGCAGGACAGTCGCTGTCTGCGCTCTTAAATGTATTATAAAGCCCATTAAAAGTTTCGAGTCGCTGAGCGTGCAAAAACCAAACTGAAATTGCATTGGGATTTGCTGGCGAGAGTCTATTAAATAATCAGCTGCTGTATCTGGCTAAAGCTACAGGAATTCCGCATGAAAGCAGCAGGTGAAGGGAAGAACAGAAGGTATCTGGCAGGCTACACTGAATATGGGCACAAGCACATAAGCCCAAAAGTATGCAAATAAAATTCGTTTTAGAGAATGAGTTTTCGTAATGAATTTTAGAAGAATCTTAAAAATGTAGACATTATATCTAATAGACTAATTAGATTCGATTTGGGTCGTAGCTCCTTCCCATAATTTCGCCTGTGGTAAACGTTGAGGTCGGATGCAAAACTCGTTCATAGTCCAACAATTGTTTAGTAGCTAAATTTATTGGGATTTATCTATTTTATCAATTCGATAACATTATGTTTATCGATCCTTAGATTGATCTTAGGTTTGCCCTTTACAACACTGCAAATTTAAGCCTATTGTGTATATTCTTTAAATAAACAGTCGAGCCCTTTACAACACTGTAAATTTAAGCCGCAATATTTTCTACGCTTTAAATAAACAGTCGAGCACTTTACAACACTGCAAATTTAAACCACAATATTTTCTACTCTTTAAATAAGCAGTCGAGTCCTTTACAGCACTGCAAATCGAAGCCACAATATTTGCTATTTTTTAAACAAGCAGTCGAGCACTTTACAACACTGCAAAGCTGAAGTACAGCTTAGAGGCACAATATTTTCTGTTTTTTTTTTTTTGCAATGCAAAGCTGGTTTAGCTAAAACTCTGTTAATTTGTTCTACAAACAAACCGATGCTGTTCAAGAAGAAGAAGATTGTTTGTTGCGGTTAATGGGAGTCAGGCACACACACGCAAACACACACACTCACAAAAGCTGCACACAGTGAGCCAGAAAAAGCCGCAGCCATCGCTTGCAATTGACAGGCTTAAGGTTATGAGCTAGAACAGGTGGTTGCCAGAAAGTTTGTGTGTGTGTGTGTGTTCGAGTGTGTGCGTGTGTGTGTGTGTGGGTTAATGGGGCAACGTCAATATAACTGCTGTGCAGTAATTAAATTGAAACCACAGCATGTAAACAACAAAAACAACAACAAAATACAAACCAAATATGAGAAAAAAAAATCGCTTTACAACACACAAAGCTCAGCCGGCGGGAATGAAGCGCAAAGGGGTGAGGCAAGGGGGGGGGGGGTTTAGAGGGGAGGCGGCCGTGTGCGAGTGTTGGGCGGAAAATGATTACCTGCCAGTGTAAGTTTATTTATGGCTGCGAAAGCAAGTCATAAACAGCAGTAAACGCAGGCTGCAGGGGAGGTTGCTGAGGGGTGGTGGGGGGATGTTTCAGGTGCAGGCAGAGGCACGCCCATTTTTTTTGGGGGCGCAGCTAGCCGCCTCTGGGGTTTTCGCATCAAGTTTTAACTCGACGCTCGGCTGCCCGCCTGGTTGCCTGGTTGCCTGGTTGCCTGGTCTGTTTGCCAGGCGATAACTTTTGACTTGCAAAGCAAAAATATTGTTGAGTGCGTGTGTTTACACACACACAGAAAGAGAGAGAGAGAGGGAGAGGGGGGAAATTTAAATATAGGCACAACTTAATATTGAATTTATTATATTTGTTGCCCAGCTTTTTGGGCACTGTGTGTGTGTGTGTGTGTCTGGCGCGTTATTTTGCACTTGCAACGGGCAAAACAGAAAACCGCTTGCAAATTATTTTGCAGGGCCCCATTTTTATACCCTCTACCCATTTAAATGGGTAAGATGGGTATGATGGTTGTGTGGGTAAGTTTGTAACAGGCAGACGAAGGCGCTTAGATATAAATATTTCTTATCCTTATCTCAAATCAACTCAGCTAGTTGTCCTTATTCTCTCTGTCTGACCCTCTGTATAGGGCTTGACATTTGAGGTATCAATATTTGTCATTATCTAATTACAATTTCAATATATAACTTAACTCGAGGACTATAAAAGCTACATACACAAAACTTGGTAGGTTACCCCATAGTATACACAGATTACGAATCATATTTTCGATAGCTTTCCCAATCCCGACCCAATCCGGAACTAGAAAAAGGGCTGATCTTTATAGCTAAAGCCCAGAGATTTTGGTATATACGCACATTTCAATGTCATACTTAAGCTCTTAAGATTTCATACAGATCGGACTATAAACACCGAAGTTAATCAAGAATGCATTTATGGGGCATAGGGAAGAAGAAGCTCAGGGTATGTGTGTGCTCCTGGTTAACTATTTATAAAGTCAGCTCTTCTCAGGCAACAGGGTATCTCCCAGTCGAGCACGTTCGACAAGGGGCACTCCTACTTCTGTATTGTTTTTGTTATTGCAGCGCAATGCTGGCTTTTATCGCAGCAAACTTCTCTTAGCCAAGTTAACAGCTGCGTGCAGAATAAGTTTCTGAATTATGCCAGCAGCAACTTTTTGCCATTATTCATGTGTTCGCTTCATGGACTCACCTTTTGATTTCCCCAAAATAACAAACCGCGCCCCAAAACCGAAACAGTCAATTGCCTTAAACGAGTGCCCGAGCACGTGACTCGCAATGGATTCAAATGCACGAGCTGCTTGTTTTTTTTTTATTTAAAGAAATTTGACAAGAAGCTTGCAAAATACTTGGAAAATTGTTTTTTTTAATTTTTTTTTTATAATTTTTGGCTATTTACTTCGAGTCGGACTGTCTATTTTGCATCACGAAGCAATTTTGAAAGCAGCCTGCTTTGATCTCTCAGCCAGAAGTAAAGAAAAACTAATAGAAAGAACTATCGATAGAAATGAATATGGAATTAATTGTGAAAGAAAATAATAGTTTATTTCAAATATATTTGAAATAATAGATTTGAAATACTTCAAACTATGACTTGTGCAGCTTATAAACTATCGAAACCAGTTATCGATAGCTTTGAAGCTAGCAGGAAAATTGTACTCATATTCACTTGTAATCAGATCTTATATGCTACCATATTTCTTACTTTCACACTATTTATTTATCCGATTGGCTTAAAACTCATTTTCAAAGATCTTTGAGAGAATTTATGTTTAAAATATTAATGCAAGGCCGGGGCATACACGCTATCCTATATAGATATAGATCAAAATTGACCACCCCCATAAGTCGGTCAAATCTCATCCGATCTTTTTAAAGTTTGTGTTTCTGTTCATGGTCTGAACTCTAGATCAATTTTGCATTTAATTCTGGCAACATTATTTTTACTCGAAATTAATGTGAAAATGGTACCCTCACATGTCCTATGTGGACATAAGTGAAAATGTCCCGCCACCATAAATCGGTCAAATCTCATCCGACTTCCACAAGGAATGGGTCTTTGTTCATGCCTTCGCCTCAAGATTGCAATGTAGTCGATCGCTTATTTAGTGACAATTATCGACTATTGAAACTATTGAGTAGCTGGCGTTATCGATACTTTTTAATCTACTATCGAGACCATTAATTAGCTGGCCGTATTGATAGTTTTTCAATCGAAGAATAGATAACAATATTACTTTCCCGACAGCTATGCGATATATTTGTTATATCTCCCACAGACTTGACTTATATTTAAACATTTATATTTATTCGAAGAGTATTTTTCTGTTTATTTGCGATTTAATTGCCAACCTTTGATTGCAGTCTCTGAATTCATTTATTGTTGAATTCTAGTTTTAATTTCCTTCAAGTACTTTTGCCTTGCTATTTGTCAAGCTTGTTTTTCAATTTGTTGCTTGCTATTTTCTATTTTCTATTTTAATCAAATTAGCTGGCAGCAAGATGGCTGCGATACGATCAAATTGCAATTGTTTGGAACTGCAACTGTAACTGTAACTGTGACTGTGACTGTAACTGTGACTGCAACTGTAGCCAGTGTTGAGTAGCTGCTGCTTGACAGCCACTCAAGATGGCGTCTGTAAAATGGCTGAAATGGCAACAAATTGCTTGTTTGCTTGAAATTATGCAAATTTCAGCAGATATTTCGCAAAAATGACGATGGCCATGGAAAATGAGTTACATTTGGCCAAGACATCGAGTCAAGGATTTATGCTATTTACCCAGCTAACCCCCCCACACCCCACACACACCCCTCAGCTGAAGCCTGGAAGCCTGTTTCTAATCCTGTGCCGGAATCAACGTTGGTTGCATTCCAAATTTTTGTGCTCTCAGCTCATCTTGCTCAGCTTTTGCTATTTGCTTTGAGGAAATTGAAAAGAAATTATTATAACTTGTATTTGCAGTTGAGCTGTCCAAGAGGATGGGGGATGGGGGATGGGGGAGGTGGCCCCCAGGCGCAGTTGATGCTAAAGTTTTGCCAGACTTGGCCAAAATGCGGGCCGAGAAGTCACTCCACTTGCAGTGCTTCTTCTTCTTCTTGCTGCTGTTGTTGTTGTTGTTGACCAAGTGCAGAAATGTATGCAGAGTACGTGCGGAAATGCTGAAATTTATTCCCATTACTTGGCCGAGTTGATAACTTGGTCGGGTCGCGCACTGTCTTCAGCTCTTTTTGGGCCATGTTATTAAAAAACTTTTTGTAAAGCGAGATAGAGCAAGAGATTGAGTGCGTCGCATGTTTGCCTTTTTTATATTTTTGCGAAAACTTTCAAAATTAAAAGGATTAATCCGTCAAGTACAAGCGAGCGAGTATATGATGCCCGCCAAAGCTACTTTAGTATACAAATCGCAAGGTAAATTCTCTGTTTACTGCAAACTTTTTGATTGAAACTTTTGATGAAATACTTGCCAAAAGCGAAAGCTGACTGAAGCAGCCGTGGTTTCTTTTTCTACGGCATATTTACAAATGAAATTGCCAGATATCATCAATGAAAACCAGCTGACATAAAGTTTGCATGTGAAAAACTGTGCAACACTTTACCGTACCCTAAAATGTAGTTAGCATATATTATAAATACCCTGTAAGTAGATATTCAACTATATTATAGTTCATCAATTCAATATAGACTTTTTTCTATTGTGACTTTCTAGCATGGGCGCTAAATGCATACGAAAGTAAATTTCATTTATAATTCTCAACTGGTTTAAGCACAGTCTAATATGTGTAATACATACCCTTTGTGAAGATATTTAGCTCTAATTTCGACACGCAATCAAATTAATACATAATTCATGTTTTGACACTTAATCGTCGAAAGCAGTTCTCATATTTCTCAAGAGTTCAAGTACATACTTTTATATGTATAATAAATACCCTGTATTTTTGCTTTACCATTCATCTTAGACTTGCTTATGTTGGGCTCTTCAGCATAGAGAGTAAATGCCGTCGAAATTAATTTTCATTTATAATTCTCAAGTGGTTTAAGCACAGACTAAGTTAAGCTGGTGCGGCTAGCTTAAACACAAATATTCTCTGCAGCTTTTATGCCAGAGTTTGCATATAGCTATATAGTTTCCAACTAACTTTTAAATCACATCAACTCTATAAAGATTATGCTTTCTTTTACAGGGTATACGGTTATCAAAGCGTGTGTTGGACACATGTTAAGGAAGCGAATCACAAGTCAAAGCTGAGCCAATCCGGTGCATCTTATGATCTGCCAATCGACCTGCTGCCAGGCTCAATTCTATACGATTTCGATTGTGTGTGATTGTGACAGTTTAAAGGGGGATTGCGCAGGGCGTAAGGAGGGGGGGGGGGGGGTTGAGAAGTTGAGAGTGGCAGTGCATTTGCATGCATAGTGTGGATGGCAAATGCAATCTAATTCAATTTCTAATAATGCCCGGCATAACTTTGGCAATGCTTTGCTTTGTGCCCAAAACTTTGCCACGTGAACTGCTTTTTTTTTCTTCTACTACTTTTTTTGTTGCGCCTTTGTCAGCAGAAGTTCAAATTGAAAGGCAAAAACTTGGCTATTTTGAACCAAGGGCCTGCGAGAGAGGGAGAGCAAGAGAGGGGGGCAGCAGTGAGAGTGCCTTTCAGTTTTAGTCCTTTGCAGTCGTTGAAAGTGCATTTGTATACAATACATTTGAGCTGTCCAAAAGTTTTTGCAGCTACACATGTGTGTGCGTGTGAGCCAGTGTGTGTGAGCCAGTGTGTGTGGGAACTCGTGTGTGTGTGGGTATGGATGGGCGTGTGTGGGCTAACAACAAGCTGTCAACACTTTGGCTTTGACTTCTGCCGCTGCTGCACTCAGAGAAAAAATGTTCGCTTACAATCGAATTCATTGAGTTTGTCTTTAAGCTTTAAGTACAATTATAAATTTGAAAAAAGAGGTTTAGCTGAAAAAACTGACAGGCTAACACACAGTCAAATATCTTTTCCAGCTCAGATTGGAGCTTCTTCAGCAGAAGGATTTCCTTTCTAAGGTAGCTCGAGCCAATCTTGCCCCAAGCACAAAATACAGCTTTTTTCTCTTGTGAGACTTTTCCTTGAATTATAATGAAATACAAAATACTTATAACAAGAATATGCTGGCTTGAAGCATAAGATGTCTACGCTTCAGTACAATCCCAAGACCTTGACCTTGCCTTTACTCTGACAACATTTGATTTGATGATTTCTCTGATGGTTTCTCTGAGTGTAGCTGCTGCTGCTTACACTTCGGCTACAGCTATAATGCTCAGTTGTTGTTGTTTATCTGAGCGCCAAAACTTTGTGAAGAAGTTGCAAAAGTTTTCGAGTGCGAACTTAGCAGAAGCAGCAGCATCAACAGCAGCGGCAACGGCAGCCGGGCACAAAAACTATTAAAAGTGTATCGACTCATTTGAGCCAGTTGCCATTTGAGCCAAGCTTATCAAATTACAGCCAATTACGAGCCAGGCAGAGTGACTGCCTTAAATGATAACCCAATAAAGCCAGCTTCAGCTCTGACTGCAGGTATTTTAGTTTCGAAATCAATGAAAATGAAAAAAGAAAAAGGCAAACAAAATGAAATATCTGAAGCTTTGCTTGGCTAACGATGAAGCATTTTGCATACCAACTGACCGTTATGCCAGGAGACGGACACGGATACGGCGACTAGACTCCACTTGCCGCATAGTCGAGGGGCAGCTGTGGCAAGTGTAAAGTGCGCCTGCAATGTGAAATGCACGCAAAGTGTCCTTGCTACGTGACTGACATTAAGTATTGGCATGGCCTCAGCTACTGCTGCTGCTGCTGCTACTGCTGCAGTTGTTGTTGCTATTGCCGTTTATTACTTGCTAGAAAAAAAAAAGGCATCATGCAAATTTACTGTCCCGGGCCTGTCCCGGGCCCAAAGCAAATTGCTCCTGTCTAATGCTAATGGCTCCTCTTACACCTTTTGCATTAAAGCTCTGCATTCGCTTTTAAGTGGATTTTCCTGTAGTCCAGCGAAAATTATATGTCAATACCTAATGGAGAGCGGCAGAGCACTTAACCTACCGAGACAGGCCCGGGACACAACAAGCTAATCAATATAGTGCAAGAAATTACCCGGCGTTGTTCGGTTTACATTTTTCTGCTTCTCTTTGTCTCGCCTTTATGGGACAGTTGAAGTAAATTTTGTTTTAATTTAAGCACATCATTTCGAATACTTTTAAAAGATAGTTTTAATAGATAGAGCTGAAAGGGAAGATGGTCTTAAAACTTAGCCAAGTCTCAAACCATTTTATTCCTTTCAAATTCCTTTTATACACAATGCCCAACAGATATTGACAAGTTTTTGACTTATAAATGTTATATATTAAACTA